TCTAATCAAAAGTTTGTGCTTACACATGGTGAATATAATTTACATACTGCTTGCATTAACTTGTAAAAAAGAATAAATCTTTGAATTTGATCTCCTTATCTTTTTGTATGTTCTTCCAATACAGGAAAAATAAGTAGAAAATTAATTAGGGTTTAAGGTTTTTGGTTCTTATGCCTTGGACAAATATTTTGAATATACTGCCTTGCGCACTTTTTTTTTTTTTTTTTTTCCTCAAATTTTACGTTGGAGGTTTAACTATCATGAAAGTTTTTATGTCTTATCTTAATTATAAATTAAATTTTGTAATTTAATGAGTATCAATTCAATTAAGTTTTTATTGGTGCTATGTGCACTTTCAGTAGGAGTAATATTAATTCTACATATCCTTAATGTATAGCATAAACATCAGCCGATATTTAATCAAGAGCTGAATATTGGTGCGCAGAATCTCCTGTGGACCAAGCGGACTGCAGTTCAAACAGAACCGATGAGGCAAGAACGTCAACCTGCAGACAGATCCGATCGGCAGATTCCACCGAACAAAATGGTCCGTTCAACAATAAGAAGGCAGCCGATAGGGGTAGGTATGGTTTAATTTTGATTACAATTAAAACCAAACTACATATTAACTAAAATTTTAGATTTTAAATTTTAATAATTACTAACTTTTTTTTTTATCAGCAAAATGAAATTAATTAAAATGAAGCACAAGGAGTACTACTGCCTATGTACAAAGATAAATAGGGAAATAAACCTATGCAGTCCCTACTAACAATTAATAGTCAAAACATAAGTCAAAAAACCAGAAAAAATACCCTGCAAGAGGACAGAATACTCTGTCGATAGAAAGCCCTTGCAGCACCTCATTACACATCTCCAGCAATTAATTCCAATCGCAGAAACACAGCACAGTGGACGCGAACTCTATCCTTATAACTCCCCCTGGTTCATCACTCGTTGCATCTTCTTATAACTCTTTAAATTTCTGTCATCTTGAACAATAGCATTCCTGCACTCCAACGGTCGTAAAATCTAATCTGTATAAGAGAAGCCACAACCTTGTTCTTTACTTTTCAGCCATAAAAAAGATTTAGACTGAATAGAGTCTAATATCCTTTCTTCAGACATTTCTCCTGTCCCAAATACTTTCAAATTTCTCCAAAACCAAACAAATTAAGCACTAACCAAAAATATAAAAGCCACTAAATCCATCGGACAACCCCATTGATTCCAGACACCACAAGTTTTGCCAAACCAAAGACATCATTTGGTAAAACACTCTGCACATCCCACCCTCCCAAAACCTTCATCTAGACCAACCAAACTTCTTTACATTCACAAAAAATATGCTGAAGTTGCTCTATACCCGCATTGCAAGACCCACAACAAGCACTCTCCCCTGATAAAGCAACCCCTCTCCGATGCAAATTATCCTTTGTAGCTAATCTGTTCAAAAAGAATCTTCACCCAAAAACACTCACTTTATAAGGAACATATTTACTCCAAATAACCTTAGACCATCTCTCATCCAAAATACAATTTCGGTGATAAAAAATCATAAGCCTTCTTTGCCGAATATACTCCATCACAACTATGAACCCATCTCCAAGAATTGACTCCATCCCTGTGCAACTTGACTCCATTAATCAACTCCCTAAACTGTTCTTCCTCCCCAACTCCCCGCCCTATACAACCTTGCCTCCACCTACAATCCCATATCCAATTTTCAGCACTCCAAAAACCCATATCCTTCAGCCTCCCCTCCCTATTATTAGCTAATGCAAACAACCAAGGAAATAAATTCTTCAAAGGCAAATCCCCTACCCATTTATCAGTCCAAAAATCCACACAACTCCCATCCCCAACCTTCCATTTAAAACCTTTTCCTAACATCGCCACCAACCCTTCTGACCTTCTACCTATGTCCACAATAGCCTTCCACACACCAGACATATTCAAAGTCACAGTAGAAGTAACATCTATCTCCTTCCTACCCCCATAATATTTCTCCTAAAGAACTCGCTTCCATAAACCATCGACACCATCACCTATCCTAAACCACCATTTACCCAACAAAGCGCAATTTCTCTTCTCTAAATCAGCCACTCCTAATCCTCCTCTCCCCTTATCCACACACATGTAATCCCAACTAACCTAGGAAATTTTCCTATCCATGATAACACCCCCCCAAAAAAAATTCCTTTGAATTTTAATAATCTCACCAAGTACACATTTGGGAATCTTAAATAAAGAAAAATAAAAAAATAGAAAGAGCAGAGAGTATCGAGTTGATTAAAGTTATTCGACCCCCGAAGGACAGCAGTGGGCTTTTCCAAGTGGCAAGCTTCTGGCGAAAACGGTCTAGTATTGAAGTCCAAAACTGTCTCCTCCTCGAATTACCTCCTACTAGCACACCCAGATAGTTGAAAGGCACCTTGCCCACCCCACAACTCAAAATATCAGCTGCACCTTTTAACCACCCTTCAGAAACATTAAAACCATACAAATAACTCTTACAAAAATTAATCTTTAACTCTGAAATCAATTCAAACCAGTGCAAAATAGCCTTCACAACCCATAAATTTTCTGCATTAGCCTTCCCCATAAATATAGTGTCATCCGCAAACTGTAACATCGATAACACCATACCTCCCCTTCCGATCTCCACACCCTTCAAAAGCCCTTCACTCTTTGCTTTTTTAACAAGCCCACTCAAACCTTCAACAACTAACAAGAACAAAAAAGGAGACAAAGGATCACCTTGACGAAGACCCTTGCGAACTGGAAACTCTGTCGTCGGGCTTCTTTAGTAATTACTAACTAACTTTAAAAAAAGAGTATTATTGGTTTCAATTGCATTTTTGAGAGTAATAATTCTGATTGATTTTAGTTTAACCAAGAAATTATTTTTATACTCTCCCATGCATTGCTCCTAGGGTTGAGAGTAGTGACGGTGGGTTTCCTTCTTAAGATTTCTCTCCAGCAAAGGAATTCCTTCATCCCTTCTTTTTTCTTACCCCTCCCTTCCTCTTCTTGATCTCCTCCTTCATCCTGTCGCTGTCTTGCTTTGAGAACTCCAACCCAAGGGACCACAAGGCTGCGGCTTATTTGACTTTTCTAGAGTTTACATCTATTGATTTTTGAAGGTTGCGATTGGAATTGATCTTACTGGTGAAGTGGATTTCTACTATTTAATGGGCAAGAATCTTGCTTGAGTATACATCTCCTCGAATGGGATCTTGGCGGGGGTTGAATTTGGCAAATCTGGTTCACACCAGTTCTCGATTAGCTACCTGATTGTCGAAGGAAAGGGATACTATTGGCAAGGTCGACTGTGGTTTGCATTGAAAGCTTGATTTTCAAGCCGACAAAGGGGCTCTAGTTCCTTCAATGAGTTTCGACAGCATGGGTTTGAAAAGGATCAGCAAAGATGGGAACATGATTGGGAGTATATGGAGGCGACTGGGGGGCCTTGTGCTTGTCTAGCGAAGGCCTATACCCCTCTTGGTTGTTCTTCTTTAGGAACAAATAAGACAGCAACTTGTGGGTTGGGGACTGTTTGTTATCAGATTCCCTTGCTCTCCCCAAGAAATTGGTTAAATAGGTGAGGATGTCCAATAGTTCTTAATGCTCATAGTGACTTGTTTTTCTATGTTAGTAACTCTATTTAGCCTAAATAGCGATTGTAATTTCAATCCCTAGTTGCAGATGACTCTCTTTACTTACTTGTCTACATCCGTCATGAATATAGTTTAAATCTATTACTAGTGCTATAGGTTATGCTCCTGATTTTGTTTTTAGGCTATTTTGATTTGGCTATAATGCCATGAGATGGAGATTCTGTTGTAATTTTTTATTATTTAATATATTTC